CCCCAAAACCCCAAAACCCCAAAACCCCAAAACCCCATAAGCATAAAACCTGCTTGAAACTTTATGCATCCCTATAATTTTCAAAGTTTGGCATAAATCATACATATAGGATAGAAAATAAATCGCTTAAGAGTCCAGTCTATGTGGAGTCAGTCTATCTGGCCAGATTCCAGCAAGCTGTCAGTCCTTGTAAATTTAGCACATAAAAATGTATCTTAAGTGAGTTAGGTAATTATTTTAGCCAAAATAAGTCAGGTTTTTCAGATTTTCCAACCAAGTTCTTTGGATGTCCATCGCTTGTCTTTTCACCTAGTTTGAGTTCATCGCTATCATAGAACAATTTGAAGATTCCTGTTCCTACAGGTAAGATATTTCCAGTGATAATGCATTCGCTGACTCCAGTGATAAGATCTTTCTTGTTGTAAACAGCAGCGTTGAAGAGATGATCAGTGGTCTGCTCGAAACTTGCAAGCATGAGTGTGGATGTCTTCATCTTGGAAATACCAAATCTAGTGATTCCAAGGATCCTTCCCTTGTAAGTCATTACATCTGCAAGCATTGTAATGTGTCTTGGATCAACAGAGATACCATGTCCGTTCATAGTGTATTGAATCTCTTGAATAATAGCGCTCCTGGCAGCCTCAATTCCAAGGACATTTTCAACCTCGATGATATGATTAGAAGTAGTCTGGGAAGGAATTACTCCAGGAGTTAGCATGACCTCTTTGAGGCCATATCCCTCTACAACGAGGTTAAGGTCCCCGCTATCATCTTCTGCTTTGTTTATGACTGCTCTCTCAATAGTTGGGACTCCCTTGACAAGGATCTTAGGCAATGTAATCTTCATGAGTTGCATGCAGCCGTACATAGCATCTCTAGTTGATTCATATGGGTTTATCCTGATTTTGTCATTCCCATCAATAGTCACATGCTTGGGTTTAATCTTGAGTCCTGAAGACTTAGCCTTAATTTCTTTGTTTATCTTAGTGACTGTTACTGATTTCACAATTGCAGCTGCTACATCTTGGATGGTGAGGTCAAGTTTGAGCTTCCCGATGGTCTCCAAGTCAAGTTTCACCTCAAGGAATCAGTTATTTGATCTGTAAACCTCTTTGATATACTCAGTTATGTCTCCGAGGTGAGTCCTTTCGAGATTTCCTTTGATAATTCTTGCACTAGCCTCATTCTTCTTGTTATGAAAATTTGCAGATATGATCGGTGTACTAATTGTTTTAGCAGCATTGATTATTTCTTTGATTCTTGGTACTCCAAGTGTGATGTTCATAGAAGCCACACCGGCAAAGTGGAATGTCTTGAGAGTCATTTGGGTGCCAGGTTCTCCAATAGATTGTGCACTGACAGCTCCTACAGCCTCACCTGGGACAACCATTGATTCTTTGTACACATTCCATACTTGGGAACAGAACATTTCGAACTGAGATTGTGTCAAAGTGAAGAAATTCTTCATAATTCTATCCTCCTCCTTCATTGCCTTTTTCGTTACTTTCTTTGAATGTGCCAGATCATAACCCATGACTTTTCTTAGGCCTATAAGTTTCTCATACAACTCAGATTTGACATATTTTCTAAATTCATCTCAGAAGCTTTCAGTGATATGCTTATTAATGATCTTTTCAGTTAAGATCGATTCTTCTAAAGATTGTTCAATTTCATCTGGTCTCAGGTTGAATTCACTAGAGACTGTAGCACCACTCTTAGTCTTTTCCCTTACATTGGCGAGGAGTCTTTCAAAGTTTACCGGAAGGTCATTCTTATCGATATTCATAGGGTCAAGTCCATCATCTCCATAGAGGAATTGCACCATTTGACCTGTACTTGTTCTCACGGAGTAATCGTACTTTACTGAGAGATCTTCAAGGGATTTAATCAATCTTCTTTGCATATATCCTGTCTCTGCTGTCTTTACGGCTGTATCGACTAGACCTTCCCTTCCTCCTACAGTATGGAAGAAGAACTCAGTGGCATTCAATCCTGAAAAGAAACTGGCTTTACAAAATCCTTTAGCTGCAGGATACTTGCTAAATGTTTCGAAATGTGGCAGAGACCTGTTAATGAACCCTTCAGGGATTCTCTGTCCATTGACTGTTTGCTGTCCTACACAAGCTATCATCTGACTGAGGTTCAAGAAACTTCCTTTAGAACCACAAGTTGCCATTATCAAGGGAGAGTTTGTTTTTGGAAGGACAACTTTCAAAACTTTACCAGCTTTCTCTCTGATATCAGAGAGGATACCGTTGAGCTCGCTTTCTAATGTCTGGTCTGCATTACATCCAGCTTTGAGCTTAAGCTTTCCTTCGTTAAATCTCTCGATTATGGAGTCACATTTCCTGTATCCTTCTTGGACTATTTCCGCCTTTTGGTCTACGATTTGGTAAGGAATAACATCACTGATCCCGATAGACATTCCATAATTGGATAACCATCTTGATGCGAACTTTGAAAGTCTCAGCATGCATTTTGCAGCCATTTCATTGGAACAGTTTCTGATCAATGCGTAGAATAAGCCTTTCTTGGATCCATCTCCAAGGGTGGCTTTACCTAGATTGCCACACATCAATTCACTGCCTCTGAACAAGACATATCCATCTTGAGGACACATTTGTTTTGTACTTCCTATGTAATTTCTCTCTTCAAGCTCAAAGTTTATGGATAACTTTTGGCTCTTGTTCTGACTAACAAGCATGTTGATGATCTGCTTCCCTGTCCAGAGTTTGACGGGCTTGATGATGGCTGGAAGAGGAATATCAATTCTCTCATTTTCTTCAATACAGAAATATCCACAAATTCTTCAGAACTCTGCTTGGTCGAAGAATCTATCTTTGTTGGTTAACAAGAAGGAAGCTGTCAGGAAGTCCTGTGTTGCAGCAATTAGAGGCTCTCCACTTTTGGGTGTGACTAGGTTGTTGACAACGTTCATGAGGACATTCGCCTCTGCTTTGGCTTCATGAGTTTGAGGAAGATGTATGTTCATTTCATCACCATCGAAATCTGCATTATAAGGTCCACAGCAGCATTCGTTAAATCTGAGTGTTTTCCAAGGCATTACTTTGACCTTGTGGCTCATGATGGAGAGCCTGTGAAGAGATGGCTGTCTATTAAACAGAACTGTATCACCGTCTGAAAGATGTCTCTCAACAATATCTCCAATCCTGAGATTCTTGATGAGCCTCTCCTTATTCCTATCATGGATCTTCATCTTGCTACCGTCTTTATAGGCGATAAAGTTGGCTCCTGGATGCACTTCAGGTCCGTTTAGGATTAATTTCTTCATTCTTTGCATGTTGATGTTGTTAACTGTAGTGGGGAAAGTAAAGATCTTAGCCATGTCAACAGGGACAACAACTTGCCCGATCTGTACATTCGGATCAGGGGAGATTACAGTTCTGCCTGAGAAGTCGACTCTCTTACCACTGAGGTTACCTCTAAACCTTCCTTGCTTTCCTTTTAGCCTTTGACAAAAAGCTCTGATAGACTTGTTCCCCATTTGATGAATTGGAAGTCCAGGAGTGTCTGAATTAATATACTGTGCTAAAGTGTATTGCAACATATTCCAAGATTGTGTCAGCTTGGAGTGAGGCTGTCCCTCGTTAATGCAGGTTTTGATCAAGAAGTTCAAATTTAGGACCTCGAACAACTTTACTGTCAAGTCATCCTCATTTCTTCTGTTCTCTGAGACAGCGACAGAAGGTCTTAAGGAGATTGGAGGTACGATCACATACCTAATGATCATATCTTCAGGTAAAATATCTTTTCCAGGCATGTCAAAGAGCGGTATATCTTCTTTCTTAATGTTCTTTAACAAATTGTAAGCAGTGAGTGGGTTAATATCCTGAAGCATCTTGTTGAGCCCCCACTCAACATCTTTGTTAATTTTGCAGATGTGCTCAAACTGGTAAGTTAGCATATTGATGCTCTCATCTTGGGTAATCTTCTCTTTATCAAACTTGTCGTGGATGATTTTACCTATAAAATAATGAATCTTTTAATGAAAAGGGACTCTTACATGCTATCTTAGGTTCCTTCTTAATCGTTCCATTGTACGCATCACAATGGAGACACATCTTCTGGCTCTTGCATTCATTAATCATGTCTCTTCTGATCTTCTCACGTTCAATAGGGTCTGTAATTTTGAGCTTCTTTGCCAAATACTCTTTCTTCGAAGTCTGGGTCAAGAGAACTTCAGAGCATGTTTTACAAATACACTGGAGGATCTGAAGAACGTGTTTGAAAAATCCAACATGATATACAGGAAGTTCTAACTTGATATATCCATAATGGCCAGGACATTTGTCATATTTCTCATGACATGTGTTACAAACTTCGCTTTTTGAGGAGACTCCCATTCTGGGATCCAGGAGGCCATCTTTGGAAGGTGCGAAGGCGACTCCATCCACTGACTCTTCAAGGTTATAGAATTTGCTGTTAATAACCTCTATTTCTGCTAATTGTTGTATATCTTGGCTTGACATTGTCTGAAACTCTATAGATTCTACTTGCTTATCAACTGAGGTGGTCTCAACATGCTCCTTAGTATCTTGAATCTTGAACCTCACTCTCTTATGAACTTTGGTCTCTTCTTGGTCTATAAAATTTAGTCATGCTTTTCTCTTGCAAAGAGTCATTGTCGGTCTCGGACAAGACAAGGGAGGGCACTTACCCATATATTTGTCTGAATTAGATTCCATTTTATCCAATAAATTATTATTCACAATAATCCACTAATTTTAAGGGGTTTTGGGGTTTTGGGGTTTTGGGG